ACTGAACACAGCCAGACTCGGGAAGGTTGGAAGCAGGGAGAGGATCGCATCCCCAGGCAGGGAGACAGCCCAGGGAACCCTCTGGCCCTGAGGCCCCAGGGGATCGGGGGTGGGTAATCAGAGCAAGTACAGACCCTCATAGGGCCCTGGGGTCCCACTAATGTGTGCTGGACCTGATAGCTTGCTGTGATGACATTCAAGCATACCTCCTGACCTAAATGCCCTGCTGGAGACAGGGTCTGGGGACTTTGAGCCACAAGACTATTGCTGCAACCCACAGCAGATGGTAACCACCAAGAATTCTTAAACCTCCATGACTGGATCTGGAACCCAGGCTGGACCAACGGTTCACCCCACCAAGACATGGTCTCCAACCAGGCAGCCACCACACAGAGTGATACTGCCTGTTTGGGGCTTTTGTGCACTCAAGACGCTGTGGGTATGCATACTCAAACCCCACTCCTTGCTTGGATCCCTTTCAGCAGTGGCAGTGGAGCAGAGTGGGAGAGGACCAGCAGGGGTATCAAGAGCTGTGGGAGCGGGCAGCTCAGATACCCTCCTAGGAGGCGACAGGACCCTGTGAGAGCAGAGGCCCCAGTCCCCCAGTGTGTGCCGCATTTTCCCATTGACCTTCACTTACAAAACACAAATCCAAAACGAAAAGTCCTTACAATTCAAGACAGCAACCACATTAAACCCAAACTGCAAGCCCTTCTGCCCTGGGGTCTTGTACACCTGCAGTAGTGCACGCCTTGGTAGGTAGCCTGGGGAGCCCTGTGTTTAAGATGGGAAACACTAGAGGAAGCTTGAATTCTCAGAGGTAGAATTCATTAGCTAATGACAGGATGAAGATGATAGAGAAAGAGGACACAGCTGAGAGGGTCAGCCCCCCAGACGGGATTCGTAACCCTTGGGGGGAAGATGGAGAGGAAAAGCAGATGCCCAGGGTAGGCTCGTCAGTGTTTTGGCAGGAAGGGAAGGGAGTTTCTATTCCTTAATGTCTGTTTTCTCTATGGATTATGAGATGAGATGTTTTGCCTGGGCTGGGGAGGGAGTCTTAAAGGAATCATAGGAAAGTGTAGCTCAGAGTGGAGGAGCTGTGAAGAACGGAGGAAAAACCTCTGAGAGATGAGCCAGAGGCCTATATGCCAGCCTGCCTGGATTCCAGTCATGGATTTACGGAACTTCCGACCTGCCTGGTTATGCAATATTTAGGACCCTGAATAAAGAAAGCTCCACCTTGCCCCAAGCAGAGGTAAGGGTAGCCCCAAAGGAGGAATTCTTTTGAGGGATCACTTTCTGTATACTGAATTGAATTAAAAAAGACTTATTTTTTAGTGTTTATGTGTTCTTTAAAAAAAAAAAAAATGAAATGGTGTTGGTAATAGCTTTCTTTTTGTATTTCTGAACTGTGGTAATATGTACATAATATAAAATTTGCCATTTTAATTATCTTTACATATACAGTTTATAATGTTTGTTTTAAAATGTTTTTACTATATAAGATTAAAAAGTTGGTACTCCTATAATGCATCTCTAAGATGCTTTTAAAATTTTTATTGGTCTATGAAATTTAGAAACATTATGAGCCTTAAAAGAATTTTTCCCCCATTTAACATTGTTACATGATTTATTGGCAGAGGAAAATTCTGTAACAATTTGTAGAATCTTTAATGGTATGGCCTAGGAGTGAGATCAGGATTACTTTTGGTTGTTAAAACATCTTGATAACGTGCTTCTCCTTCTAATATTTTGTATATATTCTCTTCTCTGACATTATCCAGATTGTCTCATGCTCTACTACCGTAAATAAATACTTCCTCTTTGTATGTCAAGCGTAAACTCACAGTTCATATAAAAATAACATAAATATGCTTTCATAGAATCTTTTTTTGCAATTAAAACCGTCAATATACATATACACAAATTAGGCGTGGATATAGTTGTTCATTTGGTCAAGGCTGTTTTATTAAGTAGTTGTATCTAAAATGTGTAAAGATTTTGCACACATAATGCTTTTTTCATTCTGAGCCGCAGACACCAAAAATCCCACAGGAAGTTGTCTTTTAAGTGTTGTGGTTTTTTAGTTTCCTGTTCAGTTGCAAAAATGATCAGAAATAAGATAAATCCGTACAATCGAAAGAGATTTGTGGTTAAACATTATTGTAACTCTAAATGAGAATCCTTAATTAACTTGTATTTCTTCCCAAATTGATCTAGAGGAGCTATGATGACATGCATATGTAAGCATAAAAGTCAGAAAATACTTTTTTGGTGTTCCATGGATAAACTCTTTAATTGTTAAAAGGGTGATTCTTTCAGATAATGCTTTATGCTTTCCACTTGTTATCAAAGCACCTACCCAAAAAATAAACTGTAGGAATAGAACTTTGTTTTTAATTGTTGGCAACAGTATTTTACCTTTATTTTACAGCTGATAAAAACCTTCTCTTGTTTATCTAGAGAAAAGAACAGACTTTATGGAGTTTAATTTAGATATTAAAAATATCATTGAAAAATTTTAAAGTGATACTATTAGTCACTGAAATACTAAATATAATTTTTAAAGAACAGGATTCTCATGATGAAATATTTTTTCTTGATTTCATTTTTTAAACCATGGCAAAGGTGAAACTGTTAAATATGCAACTATTTTTAATTAGTGACAAATAGTTGCAATCTAGCATTTAAATTACACATTGGACAACTTGTAAAAGTGACAAAGAAGGAAAAGTGAAAAAATGTCAGTGTATTTGTAGATACATCTCTCGATTTAGGTGCTATTAAAGACACCACACCTAGCTCTAGGCAGGTTATGCAATTGCACATCGTAAATGGTAAAGATAATGTGAAGGTCTTTCACCACCACCTTTTAAAATTAAAAAATACCTCCCAAACCTTTTTAAATGGTGTTTGCACATGAGGAAATTTAATCACAATCTTTTTTTTTTTCTTTTTTCTTTTTTTAAATAGGGTCTCACTGATTCCCAGGCTGGTCTCAAACTCCTGGCCTCATATAATCCTCTGGTCTTGGCCTCACAAAGTGCTGGGATGATGATGATGATGATGATGATTTGAGGCAGAGTTTTGCTCTTGTTGCCCAGGCTGGAGTGCAATGGCCCGATCTCAGCTCACTGCAACCTCCACCTCTTGGGTTCAAGCGATACTCCTGCCTCAGCCTCCCGAATAGCTGGGTTTACTGGCGTCCGCCACCATGCCCAGCTACTTTTCTTTTATATTTTTAGTGAAGTTGGGGTTTCACCATGTTGGCCAGGCTGGTTTCGAACTCCTGACCTCAAGTGATCTGCCTGCCTTGCCCTCTCAAGTGCTAGGATTACAGGCGTGAGCCACTGCGCCTGGCCCCAAGTGCTGGGATTATAAGCGTGGGCTACTACGCCTGGCCACAATTCTTTTTTTCTTTTTTCTTTTTTTTCTTTTTTTGAGACGGAGTCTTGCTCTGTCACCCGGGCTGGAGTACAGTGGCGCGATCTCGACTCACTGCAACCTCCGCCTCCCGGGTTCACGCCATTCTCCTGACTCAGCCTCCCGAGTAGCTGGGACTACAGGCACGCGCCACCACACTGGGCTAATTTTTGTATTTTTAGTAAAGACAGGGTTTCACTATATTGGCCAGGCTGGTCTCGAATTCCTGACCTCGTGATCCGCTGGCCTCGGCCTCCCAAAGTGCTGGGATTACAGGCGTGAGCCACCACGCCCGGCCCACAATTCTTAAAAGAATAAATACTTTGTCCAAAACCAAAACAATTACAACATGACTTTAAAACAAAAATGACTTCAACCATTTTTATGAAGAACAAAATGGCTCTTTTCTAGTTCAGATGGCTTTGAATTGCAAGATGTGTGGCATTTTACTTCGAAGCCTTAATTGATATTTATGTATCATCTACACGTATTTCTTTGTCAAATTTGTTCTTTTCATACAGTTGAATTCTAAAGAGAAAACCATTGTCTAAAATCTGATGTTTATGCTTTCTTCCATTTCTTCTGTGCCGGTTGTGGCACTATACCAGATACTTTAAATATGTTATCATTATGTTACTAAGAATTTCCGGCATTTTTGAAGACCTTTACATTTACAAGTGTAGATTAGTGAGGCTAGGAATGGTTTCTTACCATGTCCCTTGGTGTTTAGCAAAGCTGTCAACATTGTGGGAAGTTTGTGTAGTGGCTGATTACACTGAACCATGGACTGCACGTTTTACACCCTTTTCTGCCCAACTTTGAGTTGCAGGGACAGCGTTTGGAATGCAGGGCAGCTTGACCCGTTCAGTTAACAAGAATTTCAGCAATCTTGATGGCCAAAAATAAACTTTTGAGATTCCTGTCTAGATGGGCGGGAAAGAGACTTTGGATATATCTTGAGGTCTAATGTGGGGTGTGGGCCGAGATGGCACAGGTCTCTAGGGTGTGTCTCAGGCTGCTGCCTCCGGGTGCCCATGACCTCATCACCAGTTTCAGCCTTGGCAGTCGGCGCTGGTGAACGAAAGCAATGCTCTGACCCTGCTGGAGCTCCTCGGAGATGAAAGCCATGACGCGCCTTGCAGAAAATGCATTCCGCCTTCCGTGGAAACAACGCCCAGGCACGCGGTGACAGCCGTGACCATGCTGTTTGCCCAGTGAAGGAAACAACTGTCGGGTATCGGCTCTGCCGGCCTTTCCAGCCGCACTCATGCCTGGGGCTCATCCAGCGTGGCTTGTCGAGGAGCAAGTGGACAAGTCTCTCAAGGAAAGCTTTGGTGCACAGGCGCTTTCTCCTTGGGGCGAATTCTGCCGGACCTTGGATAAAAACAAACAGGAAGACTCGCACGGCAGCGGAAACTGTCTTTCCAAGTTACTTGGGTTACCCGGCTTTTCCTTCCGCGCCTGGGGTCGGACCCCGGCCGCTCGCCCCGCCCCCTCCCCCGCCGCGGTCCCGCCCCCGCCCCGCCCCGCCCCGCCTTGCCTCGCCTGGTCCAGCCCCGCCCCCGTCGGGCCGGGCATGCTCAGTGGGCCGGGCCGGCAGGTTTGCGTGGCCGCTGAGTTGCCGGCGCCGGCTGAGCCAGCGGACGCCGCGTTCTTGGCGGCCGCCGGTTCCCGGGAAGTTACGTGCGGAAGTCGGCTTCCGAGGAGACGCCGGGAGGCCACGGGTGCTGCCGAGGGGCGGGCGACCGGGCGGGGCCGACGTGGCCAGGCTGCGAAAGCTGCGGGAGGCCGAGCTGGTGGCCGCGCTCGGAGGGAGGTGCCGGTCGGGCGCGCCCCGTGGAGAAGACCCGGGCGGGGCGGGCGCTTCCCGGACTTTTGTCCGAGTTGAATTCCCTCCCCGTGGGCCGGGCCCTTCCGGCCGCCCCCGCCCCTGCCCCGCTCGCTCTCGGGAGATGTTTATTTGGGCTGTGGCGTGAGGAGCAGGCGGGCCGGCGCCGCGGAGTTTCGGGTCCGAGGAGCCTCGCGCGGCGCTGGAGAGAGACAAGATGTCCGCCAGAGCTGCGGCCGCCAAGGTGAGCGCCTCCGCGGCCGCCAGGGCCGGACCGAGCCGAGTGCCGCCGCCCGCCCGCCGGCATCGGGCCGGCGTCCCGCCCTCCCTCGCCGGCGGCTACCTGGGCCCCGGGGCGGCGGGGTGGGTAGGGCTGGCGCGGGGCCGCGGGCCGCGGGGAGACCCTCGGGCGGGGGCGGCGCGGGCCGAGCTGGGGGCGGCCGGGGAGGGGGCTGCGGGCGCCGGGCCGCCGTCCCGGGCAGGTGCATCGCTGCCGGCGCTTGTTCCTGGCTGCGGTTCGCCGAGGGCGGGGACGCGCAACAGGTCCCTCGCGGAGAAACTCGGCTCCGGTGAGGGTTCTGCGGCGGCCGTGAGCCGGCCCTCGGCGGGTCGGGGCTTGGGGTGCCACCTCCAGCTGACCGGGAGCTGCTGTCTTTGGAGGAGTGGTTGGTCCCCGGCGAAACCTTGTAGTTTCGATCTGATGTCACTCCCTGCGGTATGCACACGCCAGCGATAAGGCTTTGAGACTGCAAAACACTCCACTCAGCCTGTGAGGCGTAGTAGGTCGCGTTTCTTTCATGCCGTGTGACTTATTTAAGGTAACTTTGAAAATAACCTCTTTAACATTTAGTAATTTAACTTGAATTAAACTTTCAAAAGTAATACAAAGTATTCCTACGAATGGATAATAGGATGAGCTCTTAAAAATTAGTAAAGACCGGTGAGTTCAGCCAAAAAAAGTAACATTCTTCCTATCACTTTTCCCATGTGCTCTGAAATATTATTCCATTTTCCCATTGCTTGGAAACTGACTTGTGTATTACATTAAAAAGCCAAAATTCCTGAAAAACAGAATCCTTCTCCCATTTTGTATATGAATTTTTTTTATAAAGTAGTACTTGCTATTTCAAACAATTAAACGAATACAGAAATGTGAGCAGTAAAAATCTGCCTTTTAAAGAAAATCAATTCATTACTTAAAATAGTGTCGAGATACTTGGGCAGATAGTAGTTTTATGTGTGCAGTTTTGTTTGAAATGCTTACTGTAACATCTGGGAGCAGGAGTAATACGCCTCTGAAACTGTTGAACTCTCACAGAAGCTTGTTTGCTGGCTGGGAGAAGCTAGAGGTTACACTTATTAATGAATAGATCGTTTTAAGGGATATACTATTCTTCGTTTAAGAAAAATTTAACTTGTACCTTTTTGACCTTATATAGATGAAGAACAAGCTAAAGGTAATACTTTATCCAGAGATTTAGGATAAAAGGCAACATTTTGCTTTGGTTTTAAAATAAGCTCCCATTATTTATCTTTTCTGGGGCTTCCTTTCCTAGGAGGAAAGGCTTTGTTTCCCTATTACACAGAATGTCACTTTGTTCCTGAAGTGTGATCTCTGGTACTTAATATGCAAGACAACACACTTTTAAGAGGTTATTTCAAGTATGGAGAGAAATACGTTTTCAGTGGATTGCCGCAGTAAGGTGATTTAGAAGGAGAAGAAGTACTTCTTTTCTTGAATTATAGTATTGAGATTTGTATGGCATATTGAAAATACTACATTGTAGGGACGTTTTTTGCGTTCTAAATATTTACGAGTAAAATGCAAGGTGAAAGCTTATTTTTTAGGATGCTGTATTATGGAGCCACCTCAGAATTTTATATAGAGCAAAACAGGCCATAAATAAATAGATGAAATGAAATAATATTCAGTGACCTGTTTCCCTAAGTCACATTTAATTTTTGAAGGTGGTTAAAATGCTTACTAAGAGCCAGGCTGGACTCAGTGCTTTACGTATGATGCTTTTGTTTTCTCCACCCCCGCTCAGTTAAAAAAAAAAAAAGCAGCAGCAATATTAATTTGGGAGCTTGTTGTTTTTTGTTTTAGCATAATAGTTTGGAAAACTCCTGTCTAATAAGCCCGTGCTTTTGATTCTTTTTTTTTTTTTTCATAATGGTTGAATAGTTTGTCATCCTATGAATATGCTGCTGTTTAGACTATCTTTGCTTTATTGATAATTTGTTTCCAGGATTTTGCTGTTGGTATAGTAGCCTTTTTATATCTGTGCACATATATTAGTGCATATCAGATTCTTAAAAATGGAATTACTGAGGCAAAGACTATGTGCAGTTTAAATGCTGATATACACTACTAAATCTTTCTCTATAAAGACTACCTAGAAATAAAGATAACAAATATTGGTGAGCTACTGGAATCTTAATGAAGGACATAAAGTGAAGTCTGAAAAAACGAGATGAAACAATATATTTTCCGGATGGAGACGGTCACTGTTGTAGAATTTACTAATTTTCCCCAAGTCAGTGTCTTCTAGTGTCGTATTGTAGAAAACTTGACATATTGATAAGAAAACCTACCTGATAAAATGATAGCCACAAAATTCTGGAAAAAGAAGGCCCTATGAGGAAACTTGTTAGAAATTCACATTTAAAGCAGCCCGTCAGTTCAGGAACCAGGGAGTCCAGAAACATCTGTGCATTTATGGACTTTTAGTAATTATGATCATTGGTATTAATGCATGTCAGGTATTGTTCTAAGTGCTTAATTTATTTAATTCTCACAGTAACCCTATGAAGTGAACTATTATCTCTACTTTTTGGTGAGGAAATTGAAACACAGAGATACAATAACTTTTAAGTTCACTTAGCCAGCAAGGTGGCTAAATATGTGGTAAAAGTATGTGGTAAAAACAACATTGTAGTCTATTGGAGAAAGAGTGGCTTGTTCAATACGTGGTGCTAGGACTACTGGTTATCCATGTTTTAAAAATGTTTTCTGCCTCATAGGCTAAAAAAAACAGGAAATCTAAATGACAAAGAGCAATACAAATTATAGTAGAAGAAAATGTAGAATACTACTTAATATACATATATGTATGTATGTACCTAGATTGAAAAGAAGATACTAAAGGATTAGTAAAGGTGGGCAGATCACTTGAGTTTGAGACCAGCCTTGCCAACATGGTGAAATCCTGTCTCTAAGAAAAATGCAAAAATTAGCTGGAGGTGG